AAACAGGGGCAGGCCGTTTCAGAACCATGAACCTGCCACCACATGAGCTAGAGAAGCAGCCATCTTGAGAAACATTCTGCAGAGAAAAAATTGGAGGAAGAGGAAGAGAAAGAGAATAGAAATCTCCATTTTGAAACTGTCCTTCTTTACCTCTCTATGCTGCAGCATTTTTTTAAGTGGCATTTGATTTTTATGACTTAAAAGGTTTCCTATTGTTTTCATTTTCTGACTCTGTCTTGCACCTTCAACACTCGGACAACAACTTTTCCCTCGGGAAAAGCAGGCTTGATTCTGTCTCGAATGCACGTAGCACACGGGGAACCACCATAGACCCGCTGCTATGCTTCTCTGTTTTAGACAATCTCACCGAGACTCTTGGTCTTATAGCAGGAACCCCCTGAAGTATGCCCAGGCACAGGCCACATGTAGATTTTGGTGCTTTTCCCACCTGCTTGGTATAAAGGTAAACACTCCCATTACCAGGGGTTCGGGACAGCCTAGTTCCTTAAAGACTGTGTTGTAGGAGAGCCTATGATGGTGTGTTAGATGGTGTGAACATTTCTGAGTGCCTCTAAGCAGCATGCCTGGTGAGGAAAAAGCTGTAACATTTGTTTAATTCTCCTTCAGACAAGGCTGGTCCTTGGGGAATAAGGCACAGTGAACCACTGAACTGCTCCTGATGCAGTCAGGGAGACCGACAACAGGTGTCCAAAGAAGGACACTCCAAAGGGCGTCATTCTAATTAAAACGAGGGTTTATATTTGGAGAAGTGTCCCATACCATCTCATCCACAATTATTTACTCAAGTGGTTTTGTTTCGCTGTGGCTGAGTCCCACAGACGGTAGATTCAGATACGATGATATCTGTTATAGATGATTTGGTGAGAACATGGTAGTCTGATGTCAGCCTTGTGCTGCTGCAACTCCAGAACCCACAACAGTATCGATCCCTGAGCTGCCTTTCTCACAAGCTGCTCCCAGCTAAGACTGGATCTGTAGAGACCATGCAGCCAGCCACTTAACCCCAAGCAGGGCTCCTTCAGGAGGTAGCTTTCTGCCTGTGGCTCTGTCCAACACGTTCTTGTGTTTGGTATCAGGCTCCTCAAATGTAAGCCCTCTGCCTCCCGCTGCCTGCTGCTGCCCATCCAGATGTTAGAACTGCATAATGGGCTTTTGTTGCCTACACCCACTCCCTTCCACTTATCAACGAGACACTCCTCCTAGGCAGCTAATGGCCAACTAACAACGTGCCGGCGCATGCTTTCCGTATGACTGTTTTCTTTGCACTCATGACAAAAATTGCTCAAACTTTATCAAACAACCAAAACGTTAGATGCTACGGACTTCACTGAGATATGTGACCCCTTCCAGCCTTCTCCCTTTTCACATTTTCTCTCTCCTGGTTTCTTTCCCAGAGGCTCTGGGAATCTTCACAGTGACAAAACGGAATCAATCTTGGTGAATCCTTTCTGGTAGCACCAAAAAAAAAAAAAAAATGTCTAAAGAGCTGAGTGAAAACCAGAATGTGGAATCGTTAGCTCTCTGATCCAGTTTCAGGAAGTGTGTGCTGCTTTTTGTCAATTCCAGGGAGAGCAGGGGAGGATGGGTATAGCTTAGCTGGGACAGACAAGGGGTGTGAGAAGAGTGTGTGAAAGACAAGACATACAGCCATCAAGGAGCGATGTCTTCCTATTTTTGAAGTTTGATTGACTCTGAGTTTTCCAGGACAGCAACGTGTGTGATGAAGGAGAATGACAGCCACACTACCTGGTATCTGGAAGATGTCAGTTGTTTTCAGGAACGGTAAAATAAGCAAATATTTCTGAAAGAATACTCTCTGGGTTTTTGTTTTTTCTAAAAGGAAATAAGCATTCAGGCAGAGACAATTCTCTCTCTCTCTCTCTCTCTCTATATATATATATATATATATATATATATATATAAAATTTCTAAAGAGTTTATTTCAAGCCTCTTTCAAAAAGGCATAGGTTAGTAGCAACCCTATTAAAGAGATAAATACAAGAGTCAAATACTTACATAGTGATTCTCTTTCTCTCTCTTTCTCTCTCTCTCTCTCGCTCGCTCTCTCTTTCTTCCCCTTCTCCCCTACTCCCCCCCTGACACACAGGCAGCGAGGAAAACATGCTGATTGTATACAAGGACCTGATTTTTAGCAGTGTACCCAGTGTTAGGGAGACAGGAACAGGCAGGTGCCTGTTCTTTCTGGCCAGTCAGTCTCATGGAGTCAGCAAGTTCTGAACTCAAAGAAGGATTCTACCTCAAAAAATAAAGTGAAGAGCACTGGACATCAACCTTTGACCTCCATGCACTATGGCACACATGCACATACACACGCATAAATATTAAATTCATACCCCACACACATAAATTTATATATAACACATATAATAAAAATATGAGTGCAGAACTCTCTTGCTGTCACAGTGAAAAAGATCCATGTCACAACATGAGCTATGGGGTCAAGGTGTTTATGATATGACAGGCACCGCAGCAGGTGGGGATACCCACAGCCAGTATCATGACAGTATCCCACATCACATATTCACAATCAAACTAGGACACAGCTTACATGATTTTTGAAGTTTTCCCTCTTATTTAATTTTCTGTAAGCTTTTAGTAATCAAAGAAATAGCTTTTATAGGCTAATAAAGAACTGAGTTATGTATTAAGGTTATTTATTATCTATGAACTTCCTATGGATATTCCCTAATGCTCTGACATTACAAGTGGGGGCCATTTATCACATATTTATGGACATAATTTAATACACACTGAGATGATTGGTATTAATTTTCAATTGGCACATCTCTAAGTCCACAGCAGAACAGCATCTGAGAAGGTTTAAGGCATTATCTCAGATCCATGATTGATGTGGGAAGACCTGCTCACTGTGGGCAGCATCATTCCTTAGACTGGCCATCCTGGACTGAATGAAATGGAGAAAGTCTTGTAAGCACTAATGTGTCTGCACTCATGGTCTCTGCTTCCCTGGGGATGCACTGTGAGGGGCCAGCTGTTAGTTCCTGCTGCAATGACTTCCCCACTGTGAAGGACTGTGACCCAGAACTATGAGTTCAAATAAACCCTTTTCTCCCATAAGTTGCTTTTTTTTTTCGAGATATTTATCATAGACACAGGTGAAAGTTAAGATATATACACAACAAAATACCTAGTCAACATTTTTATTGGGGAAAATTAAATAATGTTATATATATTCACACACACACACATACACACACACACATTTACAAGAAGTTTAAGCCTGAAGCCTCAGTTTAAAGCAGCTAGCATGTAAATGTTTATAACTAAAGAAATCAGTTGAAGAAATGTAAATATTCTAAATCAATGAACTATAAAACCCTACGTTTTAAAAAAAACTTCAAAAATCTATGTAGAATTTTTGCTTCTCTTTATATTGTAGACAAATATATTAAACATTTAACATATTAACACCTAACACATGTTCATACGTATATAAACATTTACATACATGAATATAGTTACATAAGCGATGTTTCCATCTTATTTCAAAATTACACTTAAAAAAAAAACTAACTGTACCTGCACATATACTCTTATGTCCACATGGATGGGGGAAATCTCACAAGCCTCACCTCTCAATGAAGAAATATGGGCACGTCATGGCTACTGAGAGATGAAGAATCTAGGGATGAGCCCTCTGATAGGTCAACCAATCTTCAGTGGCCATCCCTAAGCCCATATCCACATGAGAGACATTAAATTGACTTAATATTGAGTCCATGAGAAGAGCAGCAAATTTTGAGAGGGAAGTGGTGGGCAGATGAAGTTGGGGGGGGGTGAAAATGACATAAATACAGCACTCATGCATGAACTTCTCAAAAATTTAAGTTAAAAATATTTTACAGGAAAAAAAATCTAATATGCTTGTTACAGAACATTTGTGATCATGTTCTATAAAGCAACTTTGAGACTACTACAGGAGAAATCATTAGTACTGTTATATACATTTTTGAAATACACGCCTCATCTAGAATTAATGAAGTATAATGTTTTGCAAGGCACGCGGCTAAATGAAAAAGAGAAAAATACAAGCTGCAAAGTGACCTGGAACAGTGATTGAGCACATGAACTTTCGAATTCAATTATTTGGGTTTAAATATTGACTTTGCCATTTTCTCCATTAAGGGAAACCTCAGGTACTTAATACATTGATGTCCTCACTTGTAAAATGAATGTCAGAACAGTACTTACCCTCCAGGCCACTGTGAGGGTTGAACCAGTCATAAATGAAGCAATTCTAACAGTTCAGGACAAGGAAACATTTACTGTACTGATTTACTCACATATGGAATGACGTGACTTACGTTAAAATCTGGAATTACGACAATGACAAAGGACTGACATTACAGGGAGAGATAGGAAGGCTCGTGCACAGGGGAAGTACAGGGAACACATGTAGAGAGATGCCCATGTGAAATTGGGGGTTTCAAAGAGGACAATCCTTATTTGGGTATTTGTTATGTTTATGATTAAGTGTTAAACACTTGCTTGCTCATTCATGCAATCCTTTGTTGTATGAAAAATAATGGTTATATCCATTGGTCTATTGATATGCAAAAATATTCATGCATAAGCAACATGCAAAGAAGCAGAATGAAAAGCTGGTCAGATGCCAGCAGTGTACGATGGCATGGCTGTGTTTATGAATGAAGTGATGGTGTTAGGATCTATGGTGGTGTGGTAATATCAGTTCTCTCTTTCTTGCATATGTCCACATGAAACTACACACATATATAGTCAGATATATTGTTAATTAAGAAAACAAAGGAGCAGGTGGTTAAAGGCAAAGCTATTACTGTTAAAAAAAAAAAAACCACAAGGCTGTCCATACCACCACCATCATCATGCAAACACCTTGCCTTCAAAAGTCTATATTGGGAAGACAGCCAAGTGCTACTGGTGTGTGGAATGAATTAGAGAAATTCAGACGTACTTACCCACCAAAGACCTGGAGTGCGGAGAATTTGGAAGCATCCAAATCATTGCCACTTACTATGCGAGCCTTAAACGAATCACAAGAAAACAAAACAAACAGGTGTTTAGCATAGTACAGCTACAGGCGGCAGACTGGGGGACACAGGCTGACTGCGCTACACGGGGAGCGCCTATGATGATGGGGAGCACCTATGATGACGAATGCTAAGCAGGGTCAGCTCCAAGTCAAAGCTGTGTTTTTTTGAGGGGGAGGGCAGTTTTGAGATTAGCTGCATTTAAACAAAAGCACTGGAAATGCATCATGTTCCAAGTACTCTTTGCCCTTAACACTTGACAGGTTGCAGGGGAGACCATGGATCAGCCAGGAAGGTCTGGACTTAGCCAGACCTGAGAACAGATGCCGGTGTTTGACCGTAGCAGACCCCTGGGTTGGCGAGTATAAGCTAAGTAAGCACAGCTGGCAAGGTGTAACCCCTTCATAAATGCGACACACTGGGGGACACTTAAAGGACAAAGAATGGAAAGCCGGGGAGACATGCATTTTCCACAACTCAGCAGAGAAACCAAAACAAGGCCAACAGGTCACAAACGAACAGGTACAAAAGACAAGATCCGTTGGGAGAGAAGAAAAAAAGTGTGATTAAAACCTTTTCATCCACAGAGCTGCTGTCTGGAAGAGAATCGGGAGAAGAAGGGATACATGTTAGATGGGGTTTTCCAGAAACTATTGAACATACACATGAACTGAGTCATTGAAACTATTAAAAACTCTAAAGAAGCCATTCCAAGGCTGAACCCCACGAGAGTGAGGGACCACAGAATCTCATAATGTGAATTGCTAGAATTCTGACAGAACACTTAAGAAGCAATAGTGTGAATTCTAGATTTAATAAAAGGAAATGTGTCTTACAGAGAAGACAGCTGAGGAATCAGAGGGCCTGGGGTCCAGCTGAGACTCTGCCACCCACTACGTGTGTTGGACTAGCTACCCAGCTCTCTAGAGTCTGAACCTAAACCTGAATGAGGTCACACATGCTAATTCTTCACAATACTTGAGAGGATAAATCCTTGAGAGGATAAATCCTTGCAAAATTCAAGCTACATTCTAGCAGTTGTATTACGGAATAATGACTACAGGGATTAATTTTATCAAAGAGTATTCATCCGAGCTTTCTGACATGAAACTTGAGTTAAATCAAGAAGAGTCTCTCTTACACATATCAAGACTGGTGTCTGCAAAGATTAAATGACTGCAGATCACAGTTATGTGGCCGATGGAAGCTCAGATTCAGGGCCTCTGGCCCTCCACTCAGTGCTTTGGAGACTCAGAGTTCTAGGTGAACCACACAAAGCAACCAGGCTGGTGCGTCTACAACCTTTTAGTGCAACTTAGAACAAATCAGGGCCAGATGTATTTCAGTTCAGCTGATCATGGCACCAAGTCCTGTGAGCTCTCAGAGAAGTTTATTTACTTGTTGTTTTCACAATCCAGTCTGAATCTTCCAAGACCATAGGATATGGTCATCTGGGCCTTATAAGGAATATTTCTCTTAGATTTATGCACTTTTGCTTGTAGAATAAAGCTGGAAGGGTGTCTATACACAAACTGGCAGGGTACTAGAGATGGGGTTACATTGCCATTCACTCAGTCCACCCCCACTTTTAAATACAGATGAACCTCAGTAAGATAATGTCCCCAAAGTCACACAGCTGAACAACCATCATTCCTGATGACAGTCTGAAATATATTCGTTTTTTGGCTCATTAAGTATGGATTGATGGCTATAACTAAATATTTTACATAGATTTTATAGTGTCTCAGAATTGTCTTTAAATATAAGGTAAAATTAAGCATTTTAATAAGTAATAAAATGTGAAACTTACTTGTGCCATAAATACTTTTAGAATCTGTGTCAAATGTAGCAAATAAATTTAAGTATTATTCAAAAAAATAACATCCTCTCCAAATAGTTTCCATTCCACAGATGACTCCAAAGTATGGAATGACTAATGTCATGTGACACATGAATGGATCATATGTCTGTGAGTCAAACAATCTGCCCAGGACTTTAACATGAACTAAAGGTTGTCTCCCCAAAGTTCCTAATAATTCTTAGAAACCACTTTAAAATAGGGCTGGACTGTGTCTTTCTTAAGTTTAATGCTACTGAACTCATTTGTTGACATATTAGCCCACCTCCGTCATCAAGCACAAAACAGAAGTTCTTACAATCAGTTTAGCTTATCTCTAGATGTCCTGACCAATAGCTATCCAAATATGTAAATAAATAATGCAATTATTAGAAGTTGAGGTACAAAATTGTTTGTGTTTTTCAGGATTTATAATTTTCTAGCTACCTAAACAAAGTAAAACAAAATCACTGGGAAATTGCAATCATTAATAAAAGAATAAAGAATTCAACTCTCTAGTCATTTAAAAAGTTATTATCTCGAAAAACCAAAAAAACGTTATTATCTATATAATATCAAGAGTTGGCTTTGAAAAACAAATTAAAAGATCAGATTTAAATAGTTGATACTTTGAGTGAATAATTGATACCAGATGTTTCCTATTGATATATATTTCCCATGTCTACTACGCAACTGAAAGAGTCGCTCTCCAAGGTCAACACTACTATGCTGCTGGTAATCTTGTCCACTCACTGTGCATTCATTCATTCATTCATTCATTCACTCACTCATTCAACACATATTTACTATTAATGGACCCCTTTTGCTCTTTTCGAAGCCTTTCCTACCTTTCTATTACATCCCCTTGCCACAAAACCTCTCTAATATGCAGATGTAACCGGTTCCCCCACATTTTATAATCCACCAGTAATACCCAGTCTACCTGTGACAGTTTCATCCCAAGTTACTGCAATTTTCTGACTCTTTTGTCTCCTACAATTAATCTTCAGACATTCAGCACACAAGTCCCACTGTATACATAGTCTTTGAAACCTTTGCTTCCTCCTTCCTCAAACCTCCACACTCCCTCTTCATCCAGATGACAGCTTGCTGTTCTTGCAAACCTGTATGAAGTCAGTTCTGGGCTCTGGAAACTTTTCGTTCACCCAGGGTACAATTGCAGGTATTTGAGAGCCTTCTGACATGGGTTCTAGCAACCACATCCAGATCCTTGGGTAGGATCAACAAAATCTTTTAATTGTTGGGTCATCTCTCTAGTCTGTAACATGAGGGGGCCTGCTTGTTGGGGTTTATGTCCTGCCCAGTTCCCCACAGCTGGCAAGCCCCAGAGAAAATCACACAGAGATCTCCATAAGATTATAAACTGATTGGCCCATTAGCTCAGGCTACTTATTAGCTCTTATAGCTTATATTAACCCATTATTCTTATCTATGTTAGCCATATGGCTCAGTACTTTTCTCAGTGGGGCAGCTCACATCCTGCTTCTTTGGTGATCTGGGATGGAATGAGGGGACTGGACTTCCTCCTTCCTAAATTCTCCTGTTCTCATCGCCCCACCTCTACTTCCTCCCTGGCCAATCATCATTTATTCAAAACATGATTGACAGAATACAGACAATTCTCCCACACCACTAGTCCCCACCTTTGACTTTTTAAAAGAAAATTCAGGTGGTCTATGAAAATATTAAAAATGTATCAAACCTAAAATGGTATTGTCATGGAAAAAATAATAGACAAGAAGATAAAGGAGACACCAATAAACTAACATAGCCTGATATAGAAGAAGTAATGACTAGGAAGGGACTCTTTCTTTATGAAAGAAGACTTCTTCCTCAAGAAGACTCATGAGCAGGTGAAGAGTGTTCAACAATGCATTATGTATCTGGAATATTTATTTTATCCTTATACATATTCCACAAAGTTCATGTCCATTAAGGAATTAAATATAAAACAATTAAAGGAAGAAAATTAGATACAAAGAAAAATTAGATATTAAAAACTTAGATAAAGACAATTCACAAATTAAAATGCCACAATGGTAATTAAGTGTGTGAAAATTATCCACTTTATTAAAACTATGCCTAATGATGATTACAAATTAACATGAGGTAGAATAGAGATTAATTTTAATATCACTAAAATTAATTTCCAAGGATATTGAGAATATCATCAGTCAGTCAGGAGCATACATAATTGATGAGAGTAAAACTTATTAAAAAATTATGATTAACTTTTTGTTAACTTGTTTGTGATGCTTGGACAGAACAGGGTATTCTAGTTTGGAATATTGATGCTAAGCAAATCTTTGTTGTGGATGAGCTAGTCTGCCCAGATGCTTCTGTGAAGTTCTGAGCACAAGGATGTTGGGATGTAGTTACCTGTGGAAACTGGGTCATAGCAGGTAAGATTTATTCAGATGGAGAAGAGTCCTAAACTTGTTCTTATCAAAAAACAAAAAAAGAATGTGGTGTCACAGACACACACAGACCTCATGAAACTTAGGTAGGTGGGGAAAACTCAAGTGAATGCTGGGAGAAAGGAGGCAGAATTGGAGAGAAACCATGTAGCCCCACCAAAGACAGACGCTGGAACTTTAGCCAGTAAGCCACAGCCAAGTGGCAATACACAAATTAATAGGAGTGAGTAAATTAATATGTAAGAGCTAGTCAATAAGAAGCTAGAGCTAATGGATCAAGCAGTGCTTTAAATAATATGGCTTCTGTGTGATTATTTTGGGGCTGAGTGGTCGGAACCAACAAGTGGGCTCCTCCAACAAAAAGGATTAAATACCAGCTTTCATTCTCAAAACACACACATTAAAACATCTGTGGCACATCAAATTATACACATGAGTAAAACTTTTTAAAAAGTGTGTGTGTGTGTGTGTGTGTGTGTGTGTGCATACACATAAAAGTAGGCATAGGTGTAAAGCTCAGAGGTTGAAATCGGTGTTTTCCACTATTACTTTCAACCTTACTGTTTGAGACAGCATCTCCCACAGAATCCGAAGCTTACTGTTAGGTAGGCTTGCCGCAGAGAGCACCAGAGATTCTCCTCTGTCTGCCTCCCAAGTGCTGGGGTTATAGATGTGTGCCAACACGCCTGGCATTTCACGTGTGCTCTGGAAATCAAGTCTCAGGTTCTCATGTTTGTACAACAAGCACCTTATCCACTGAGCCATCACCACAGCCTACAGAACTTTAAAAAACTTCTTCAAACTATAGAATAAATAACCATAAATGAAACAATGAGACTAGAAACTCAGATAAAACAGGCAAAGAGAGAAGCCTAAGTAGAAAAGGTGAGCAGGGCTTCATGGTGAGGGGTACAGAGAAATTCCCGCTGAGCAGACGCTCAAGGACCTTCTTAACTATACTACTAGTCTGGTAACTTATAAGAGTCAAGTCTTTTTAATACTCAAAAGAACATACATACATATAATTATTATGAATTACTTTCAAACTATACGAAACTTGAGACTAGTTGTGGTTTAAGGTAAATCGCATCATGCCTGTGAATATATTTTAGAGGTTTGCCCTGGGCCTAACTTCTATTGCCTACTTATTTCCACACCCACAGGCACCTGATTTAAATTCTGGCTTTTTCGTTTGCAACTCATCCATTTTTTCTGCTTGAATTTTTCTCTAAAAGATTGTTAAAACATAGAAACCTACCACCTTCCTGTCTTATCCCTGTAGTAGTATTGTAAGAGGCTACTTGTTTATCCCGGCTACCCA